TTTAAAGAATGCTAGTTTTAACATAATCATTTGTTGATTTTAATGTAGAGTCATAGAGTAGGAAGGATTATTAGAAGTCATTTAATCCGTCCCCTTGCTCAAAGCAGGATCTGTGACATAGGATGCAACTAAAATGAAAAGTGTCCATCCCGTCTTCCGTCCTCAAGCAAAAGAGCGATCTCCATTTCCTCAAGCTGAAGATTTAACAAAACTCTCTTGTTTCATCTGACTCGACTGACCTTCCGTTTCCACCTACTCCTTCTTATCCTTCAACCTTGGACAACCCAAGTGTTCTTGGGCTACAACTCCCAGAAGCCTTCACCGCTAGCTCTTCTGGGAAGTTGCAGTCCAAGAAGACCTGAATTTCCCCTTGTTGGGAACCACTGCTGTAGAGCAGTAGTCTGCTCTGTCTGTTCCGTGGTAGCCTTTCAGATGTTTGAAGAGTCACATCGCTTATGACTGGTGACAATTAATTCACAGGTTAAACTGCTTTTTGGTGCTACCATCTCCTGCTACAGTTTTGTTACAGTATTTTGTTAACTACGCATAGAAGTGCTGTGCACTAGTGGGTTGGTATATAAAAGGAAGGAAGGAAGGAAGGAAGGAAGGAAGGAAGGAAATGGCCCTATCTTTAGGTGTGCATATGTCCATGGCATTGCACCAGCGTTTCTTAAAAGTTATCCCCAAGGAAGCAATGTTTCAAAGCTTCTGGTGTGTGCTAGTGCACCTAATTGGGGCCTCGGATTCTACGCAGCAAAGCCACTGATGAAACGAGGCCTCTGAGACATCTCTTTTGGCCCTGTCTCAGCATTTCCCATCAGTGCCTTGGCAGCGCCCTAATGTTTCATGTAACAGCAGGCGGACGTTATCCTGTGACAGTGTCCTGTTCCAATGTTGTCAGCTTTTAATTAGAAAACATGGCAGTCGTGCCAGCTCTGCTGGGTTTGCCCCCAGTGGGGCCCTGCCTGATTTGAGTGGGCTGGTTTTGTGTCAGAGGATTCATGGGGATGCTCGAAAGGGTCTCTTTCATTTACAGTTACAGTTTTTCAGCCCTGCTTTTATTTCCTGGCACTTAATTGCCTTGGCGGGTGACTTAACCGAAGCACTAAGAAATCATCCTGCTGTCATTTGATGAATATTTATAGCAAGGGGGGGTGTTGATTTCTCCATTGATTTACATTGTTTCATCCACACGGACTAACCGAGGGCAGCCATTAATTTTTGCAAAGTGTAAAAGCAGCATATTCCAAATTCAAGAGTTATGTATGAATGCACATAGCAGCATGAATATATTTATAAATAAGGCATACTCTTTTGCCGATGTGCAGCTATTTACCACAACCTTTGAAATGTTCTAGAACAGTGTCAGAATCCCTGAGGCTTCAAATCCATCAGAAGCCAGTCATAAAACCTGTTATATTATCGGGGAAGATGTCCAGTAGGACGACACACCTACAAATGGAAAAGAACTTCACAGTCACTTCTTAAATTTATGTATCCATAGTGACAAAAGACCAAATAGATGGGCACTCTGGGTCTTGTTTGCTCAGAGGATCAAGCCAGATGACATGCTTAACCCTATTTACAGAAGAGGTCCTCACTTCCATATCTTGCATTGATCATACATTGTTTTGTGATTGGTCCTTGGAAGGGCAATATGGACTTAATTTGCAAGTCTGATTGCTGAATCCCATGTCAGGAGTTCAGCCGAAGAAGATCTGGAGTCTGAGGGGTTAATTACAGCTGAAGAAAATGCTGGGCAATCAGAATCACAGACAACTGAATCACCACCAGATTCTCCTCCCCCAGTAGCCAGAGTGAGGGATAAGCTTCCGCAAGGACTCATGAAACGAAGATCCGAAGCCCGCATGAATGCTTCCCATAGGAACATCAGGTCGACCAGCCCTGAGTTTTAGCAGGATGAAGTGTTTAGATGACTGCTGATGCTATAAAATCTGCACCCAGAGGCTTGGAAGTTCGTGAAAGCAACGTCAACACACTGGCTCACAGCCACAATCCTACTTATCTTGGACCTTATTCTCTGGACCCTTGGCTTTGGACTCTGACTTCTGACTACGGTTTGTGTTTTGGCTTTGGCATTTTGATATCTGCTTTGCATCTTCTGGACTTCTGATATTGGACTGGCTTATTGGACTTTTGCCTGTTGAAACCCCCTGGGAACGTGACACTGAGAAAATCACACTGGGTGAAGGGAAATTGCAGGGAACGTGTCATGTCAGGTTCAATCTTGAGTCCTATACTAATGACCCCGAAGCTTTAGAAGACAGCATTTCCTGGAGTGGTTCTCCTTGCCACAGTTTGGGCATAACAAAAAGCTTTTTCATCTTTGCTCTTGCCATAGGGTAAACTGCTATAGGAGGAGAAAGAAGTAACTTAAGCAGCAAGTCTCTACACTAATTGGGATAGCCACTATGGTGTAGTAGATAGAGGAACAGACTGGGATGTAAGATTGGGTTCAAATGCCCGCTCACTCATGGAAGCTCACTGGGAGTGCACAACTGGTAAAGCCACTCCTCAGACATTTCATATACTTTGAAAGCCCTACTGGGATCGCTATAAGTTGATTGCAACGTGAAGGTATGTAAGAGTAATGCTACACTAATTACAGGCTTACCTCAAAACTTAAGCAAGTTTTCTGCTCAGCTTGTAACTATGCCCCGAACTGTGAACATTTGCAGTCTGCATTGCCTGGCTCTCTCCTTTGGCTACTATCATGTCCATGGACATGCATGTTATGAAATGTTATGGATCCTCATCTCTATGCATGCATCTCTGCATCTCTGACAGCTGGGGATGCTATAGTGAGTCAACCCAATGTTTCCAGCTCTCAATACTGTCTGTAGTTCTCACTCCAGCCCCCAAAGTATCATAGTTCTCACTTTACATTTTGTACCCTGCAACACAAAAAAGGGTCCAGTTAGATAGTGTGAGCAAAACTGGGTGCTAGTCTGATCCTGTCTTCCCCCTGCAGACTCCCACCATGCTCCAAATTCAGTGAGAGGATTGGGATGTCCAAGGTTTTGAGAAACAGGCAGACATAGCCTGTTGAGGTAAAAGAATGGCTCTCGAGCCTTCATAGTAGCTCACCCCTGAATAAACAATATCAAAAGAAATGCTCCCTCCAGTGGTAGAACAGTGGTCATACAACACATGATTTTCTTCATCTCTGTATCTTGTATTGAGCGTGGTTTCCTTTGTGATGGATGATTGGAAGGGAAATAATTAATTGCAAGTCTTATTGGAGAAAGAGATACTTCTTAGGAAATCCCATTCTGGTGGTATGGAAATGGGCTAATGAGGGTGAGCACACATTACACTTGGTACCCAGTTTGACCCTTACACAGGTATCATGTCAAGCAAGATGGGTGAGCAGATATATCAAATTCACTATATACCCCCTTTTTTAAAACTTGAAAACAACATTCAGAAGGGGACCAGGATGCCGATCCTTGAATGTGGATGAGTTTGTTTCTGGTCTCTTTTAGTCCACATTCATACAGTTTTTCCATCCTATTTTCCTCGTTAACTTGTGTTGTTCTCCGAATAAATGGCAGTATTTAAACATGTACTTTTGAAATTATTTTCTCACAAAAGGCGTAATTCCTATACATGCAGTTCCCTCAATCTGTGCATTTCTAGAAGTCTTTTATCCTAAAATATGTACTTTTATACAATTTTCAACCCACTGAAATCAGTAGTCCGTTTATCTCATTATAGCATCCACACCCCCTCGCTGTAGGTGTAAATGCTCTCGGAGTGGTTTTCAGGTAAATAAACAGAGGAAAGAAAGGCAGTCCCTACCTATAGATTTACAAGCTAAAGAAAGTCAGAATCGAGAAGTAAAACCAAGTTCTCCGGCCGGATGGAGTGGCCGCTGGGTAAGAGAGAAAGTCAAATTGAGATGGCGTCTCAGAAAGGCTGGTGGTGGCCCTGCTTTTACTCTCTCGTTTGTCTGAGGTCTGCTCGAATGGCTAATCGCTAGCCGTTTCAGTGGCCTATTCTAAGCATGGTTTGGATCTAGTCCATATTATTATTAGATGTCAAGGAATGATGATATTTCCCTCTCTGGATCCCTGAGACCCCAGAATGAAAGATGATGTGATCTGAATCTTGCACATGATTCACATGGTACAAGAGATGTAGAGATGGTCATGACCCACTGGTTTGGTGGTTTGACACAGTTTGTTTCCCATCCGAACAGTTGGTCCATGGCCGAAGAAGGTGGGGTGAGGCACGGCCACGGATGGGGCAGCTGCTGGAGGAGGCAGGGTGACAAACCAGCGGTTCATGCCCCATCCCTGCAGGATGGAATTTGCTACTGATAGTCATTAATTTTAAACAAAAAGGGCCCAGAAAATTGGGGGTGGGGGAAGAAAAGGAATTTGTTTGCTTCAGCTGAGGGGGAAGGGCTCCTTCCAAATGACTTTGAACTTCCAATCCTTTTCCTTAGAGGAGACATTTCTTCTCCATGGAATATTTTATATATATATATAATTAATCCAGCCAGAGAGAGCTTCCAAAGATTTAATAACCTTCGAACTGCAGAAGCTGGAAGGGACCCTATGGGATCATCTAGTCCAGCCCTTGTCAAGGAGGCCCAGTGGGGGAATCGAACTCCCAACCTCTGGCTCCACATCCAGAGACCTAAGCCACTGAGCTGTTTGACCCCTTCCAGGCCAAAGCTGGCAAGCATTTGATTTTTTGGGGGGTCCCACCAATCCCATAATATCCCATATTGGCTGGGAACGTCTAGAAGCTGACATTCAAAAATGACAATTTCCTTAGCTCTGTGTTAGGCAAATGCACATTCCAGCTTTGATGCAGCCTGGGGCGGGGGGAGAGATGACCGGGGAAAAATTATGACCTTATTTAGCATATGCTTCCTGTTTCTCTCTCAGTCTCTCTCTCTTTCTTTCTCTCTCTCTCTCTTTCTTTTTCTTCCCCGCTCCGCTCCCTTGCCTCCTTCCCTCTCCCTCCAGCCTGTCATCCCAACGAGCCCAACTAGTGGTTCTACCACGCCAACCAGCACCATGGGCCTCGGCTCCAAAGTGGACAACTCGGCTCTCCAAGACGTTTTCATCCTCTCCCCTATGTCGGGACTCTACGGCCCCAGGTACACCTTGCCCGCAGAGGCTGATCTCAGAATTGTAAACTTTAGACTAGGAAACAAAAATAGTGGTTTCATCCAAGACTCAAAACTTAGACTTGGTGGACAAATGAGATTTAAATTGGTTCTGTCTAACACTTAAATTGGTTCCATCTAACCCATTGAATTGAGTGTGTCTTACCCACTCTACATAGGACAAAATCTAGATCCAATTGTGTGTCTTTTTCTCAGCTTCTTCCTTAACACACAATGGTTAATCTAAACTTTTAAAATCTTCTGCCAGTAAATCTGCCTACCTGTCTTTTTTCTTCTTCCTTTAATGCCACTTAGGAGTCGAGCTAAATGATAGATTTTTAGAAGAGGTTCCCCATGCCCATGTGGGGAAAGTTGTTGGTTTCATCATCGCTTGCAGTTTTTCCCACCTAACTGTCATGCATTTTGGAGTGCTTTGTTTCTGCTCTGTGATCTGTTCGTCATTGAGAGGTGAACCAGAGGCTCACTTTTCAGGTCTGCCACCCTATCCATGATGCCCCACTGGGTATCACAATAATCTATGGCGGGCTTTGTAATTCTGCAGCCATTGGAGAAAAGAGTGATCAATTCTTTGCAAACGTTTGCTACAGATTTCCTACTGGGCCATTCTGTTGACTTCTTTCTCTCTTCCTAGAGATGACATTGGAATTGTGCCTTGCGACGACATGAGCAAATATGGCATGGGGAAGTCAGGGATGAAGGGCTCCGAGTCTCCGAGCTACTTTCTGGAACACGAAAGTGGAAAGTATTACACGTTGATAGAAGGCGAAGGCCATCCGGCAAACTCAGAGTATGAAAGAGGCAGAACGACAGGAGTGCGACGAAGAGAAAAGACGCCCACACATGGTACGCTCACTGGATTTGACCTTTTAAAGTCATTAGTCGGCATGGTTTCCAACCTTCTTAGGCTGATTCATAGCCAGAGTTTGCCCGGGAAACTGTGCCTTCTTTCTGATGTTCTAAGATTAAAAACTGTAACTTCTGAAGGGAATGCCCCGATCCCAGACTAAAGCTTCAGCATACAATGCATTATTATGGATGACCAAGCAGCCACAGACGAGCTCCATCATAGGAACATAAAAGTCTTGCTGGATACAGGGCAACATTTCATTAAAGTTAACATCCGTTTCTCATTGCTTTCAACTAAAATGCTCCTATACAGCCGAACAGGCAGATCTGTTGAATTTATTTCCACAGATATTTCCATTCTGTGTCAGTTCTGTGTAGATGTTATGTTTCTGTACAATTTCCCCCCCACACACAAGTATTCATTTCATTAATCAGTCCTTCAAACCAAGAGGCCAAGCCATGCATGCGCCCATGCACGCATGCACACACATGTGCGCGCACACACACACGCGCGCACACACACACGCACACACACACACACACACACCTCCCCGTTTGGCTTTTCTGTGAAACAGAAAGCTTGACCGGGACAGGGGTGATGCAGAAAATCTAGGAATTGGGCTGATGGTTTAGTAAACTCACTAGGTTTAGCCAAGTGGGTCCAGATTAAAGTCAAAATAATATTACCTAGTGGTTCCCAGTTGACCTGAGGTGTGATATCCAATCCACAGCTGCCTCACCTGTTACTTTAAAGCCACAGCCACCCTCAGGAATTGAAATTCAGTCACATACTCTCTCTAAGCCTTTCGCTCTCATTTGGTTATCAGGGTTTTACTGGTCACTGACACACCTCCGTGAATTTGTCTGGGCAAATTCTTAGGCTGTGACTGCAAAGACAAAAATGTGAGAAGTGTTATAGGGCTGGGATGGCCCGATTCACAACTTTTTCATTGACCACCTGATGCAAAAGCAAATGCAAATCAGTCCAGATATAGTTCTAAAGTATATTTAAACTACCGTTCGATAATTTTTCCCCCTCTGCTGCTGAGGTTTCTACTTTTTCCATTCACATCGGTTCATACGGTATGATCCCTTGAACCAAAACAGAAGAGTGTGTGCTGTGGCTGGGGTGATGGCATGGCAGCTGGGAGTGGAGGGGGGGAGGGTTTGGATCTTTTTCAACATTCATTTTAACATCTTGGTACCAGCTCTGTTGTGCTAGAGCACCTTGACGAAAGAAAGAAAGAAAGAAAGAAAGAAATTGCCACTCAGCCCTTGTTTACAGTTTGCTAATATAGTTCTTCTATACTGTACCTACTGCAGGGGTACAGGAGAGCTATGTTAACAAGCTGCAGACAAGGCTTTTTAGCCAGTTTCCTCCTCCCTGTGTGGCCAGTTAATACAAACCGACCCAGGCAAACCCATATTGCCCACTGTGACTTTACAGCAAGGGGATTTGCTTTTCTCTCACTGTCTAGTCACACTGTTAGGCTGCTGCTTTAGCACACAATAATGGCATAACATTTCTACACAAGACAGGTCGCAGTTCGAGTTAGTTGTTTTCTGCAAGAATTTAATCTCCTGGATGAATTTGGGGGTATTCTCCTGATCAGTAAGACAAATGTTCCCTGAACCAGTCAAATTTATTTCGTGTCACAAGGTCAAATCCATGTGCAGGCAGGCAAATTTGTCTAGTCCATTTCCATCTTTCTTATCTCCAGTTGCATTGTGCGCCACTTCTGTAAGGATTCATTTAGTTATTTTGTTGGAAAAGATTCACAGAGATGATTGTGCACGTTTTTGAAAGGGAAGCATTGACAGAAACATGTTTTTCCCTCTCTTTTTTAAACTAAAGCGTACTTTACAAATGTGTGTACGTTTCTTCTGTTTTCTCTTTATCTCCCCCCTCGCCCCCATTTTCAAAGGGTAGAGTTGGTAAACATATGATGAGGATGATGGTGATGAATGCATTGCAAGCCTGGATATCTGTAGGTTTGCAGACCGGGCAGTATGGAGCATGAAAGGGGATGGATTAAACAGAATTCCTGAGACCCAGATTAAAGGGGAACTGAATGGGCTTGCACTCATTCTGCCCCACATTCCTTAGCCATCTTGTTGTGAACTATCTATCTCTGTTTTGGTGGGGGCAGCATAAGGTTAGCCATATCCCCAGGGGATGCAAAGGGGATACAATAATTCCTTGCATAAGGAATTATTCCTTCCAGGAAACTCCTTATGCAATTATGCATGATTCCTTCTGGGAAACAGTTGGCTGTTCCTTTCTTTGGACAGCGATTCAGCAGGAGCTGAAACGCAGCCGTACAGAGCAGGATATATGCTGACTGTCCGTCCCAGGTGGCTTACTTGCCTGAGCGGAAGGGAGCGCGTTGGGTGTTCCAGAATCATTTCCTTTTCTGTCCCCGGGCCAAAAGAGTAACTTCTTTAGGCTCGGATCCCATTCGAACAGGAGCACCTACCTTCTGCAGACCTTCACAGACATCTAAAAGATTGCAGGATTATGTGAATAGGGTTTGTTCCTTTAGGTGTGTTTGGAAACGCTCTGCGGTTGATTGATAATCGATGGCAAGGAGACACCTCGGCTAGAAGCTCATTAGCTTTTGTTCTTGCTCTTTACTTTTCGAATTGCTGTCAGAGGGAATGACAATGAATTAGGCACTTGAGAGATGGATGCCTGTGAGGTGCACCTGGACCTTTGTCGGATCCTGTGCGTACAGAGTAGTTTCTTTCTTTCACAGCTACAGCAGTTTCCTTGCAACGATCTTTTAATCACCAAGAAGAGACCTACCAAGAGCTGTTGGGTGAAAGGCAGCTGCAAGCTTACTGCTGAGACGCGAAATACTTGCATCAACGTGATGATCATTTGTAATTTGTTATGTTCCCATGATCTTGTTCCTATGGCATATACGCTGTTCTTACCAGCTTCAATCATCACAACAACCTAGAAGTAACTTGGACTGAGATATACTGTATAGGGATTGGCCAAGGAATCACCAGTGAGCTTCTAAAGCTTACCACTGCAGTATGGTACCTGTTCATGTACTGCTCTAGCGCTATTACACTAGAAGATGCTTTGATCAGAACGCTAGGATCTCGCATGCTGGTCTAGATCTCTAGGAATATCTCCATCCATGCATTGAACTGCTCCCCATGAGGTCTGTCCCTTCCTCCCTTCCTTCCTTCCTTCCTTCCTTCCTTCCTCCCTCCCTCCCTCCATCCATCCAGAGCATTGCACAATTTGAAATTTCGGATATATATGAAACATAGGTAACATTGAAATGAATTAAATGTTAAGATAATCTTTTTTTGACCAGAAGCAGACTACTTCAATAGTACTATCATGGCCATTTGCTAGATCTTCTTTTGTACATGTGGTAGGGCATGCATCCTTTTCACACACATAAATGCTGCATTGATTGAATTTCTCCACCATCACAGGATTTTTGTCCCCTTTGACTTGATTATTCTTTGGTCTTCCAACTTTGCTTCGAAGTCCCATTTCCCCGTCCCATTTATTTCAGTGGACAGGGCAGTACCACCCTCCATTCACACCACTCCAATACTGATGGAGATGCTTTCTCCACCGAAATGAATAGGCCAGTCTTAATAGATGTGTTGCATACGTTGGACCTTCCATGCTCCTAACACATCTTGAGATTGCTTTCAGCTACAAACCTCAACAGACTCTAGAGAAGGAAAGAGCCCTTAACAAAGAGGTTCTGTTTGAATTCGGAGGCAGGAGGGAATGATTGGTTAGGGCTGGATAGATTGACAGTCACCCCAGCCCAGAAAGGTCCCACCCTGCCATGCCTTCTACAGGCATCATGCAAGGTTGCAAAAACTCCAACAATATTATGTGTCCAAAATAGGCATCCCTATGAGGTACACTAGAAAGCAGCACTAACAGGTGGCTAGTACATAAAAGACAATCATGCCCCTTGTAAAGCTTGGGTCATCTGCTCTCCAGCTTACTCCAGATTCAGAAGGAAGGAAGGGACAGTTCAATGCATGGATGGAGATATCCCTAGAGATCTAGACCAGCATGCGAGATCCTAGCGTTCTGATCAAAGCATCTTCTACTGTAATAGCGCTAGAGCAGCACATGAACAGGTACGATACTGCAGTGGTAAGCGTTTTGGACTAGGATTTAGAAGAATCCAGGAGAGATCCCAAGTTGCTTTAGAAGCTCACTGGTGATTCTTTGGCCAATCCCTATCTATCTCAGTCCAAGTTACTTCTAGGTTGTTGTGATGATTGAAGCTGGTAAGAACAGCGTATATGCCATAGGAACAAGATCATGGGAACATAACAAATTACAAATGATCATCACGTTGATGCAAGTATTTCGCTGCTCAGCAGTAAGCTTGCTAAATGAAGGCAGACCCACCCTGGGGTCAATCTCTATTCAGGCAGGTGAGAGGGCTGGTAATGATATCCAAAAGGACCCCCACCCTACCTGAAGCACAGAACTCAAAAGTCCTCAGGCTGGAGGTGAACACAAAATCCTTGTGACGCACAAATTAAACAACTGAGGCCTTGCTGCTAGGGGATGTGACATGAAAGACCCAAATATAAACAGTACTTCACAAAAGTTGTGTCAGGAGTATGGAACTTCTCATCGCATACCAAACAGTGTTTCCCCGGGGTGCGCTATATGATTATCAGGGGAGAGCAGACCTTAAGTAGGACTCAATGCAGCTACATTCCTCGTGCTCAGCCTTTTCACAGAGCAAGGAAATCTCGTTGGCATGTTGCCTTAATGGTGGGATCAAAGAGAAGCTGGAATAGCTTTCTGAAGTTTGAGCCAATAAGACGGATTTGGCTCGCTTTCATAAACTCTGGGCGAACAATGACTTACAGTTAAGACACTGAGTACTTTAGAGCAGTTTCAGGTTCCAGCAGTGGTTAAATTTTCCTCTGGTATTCACATTTGGTGTTTGGCTACCCTTTGTGGAAAAGAATTTGAAGAGCAGCAAGCA